ATAAAACTAAGGTTCGACGATCTATTTGCCATCCATACATGCACATCTATGCCCTAGTTCAAATGATCAATTCACATGCATATGAAAGTGGAGCAAAGTTCGCCGGCTTAACTGGCCTACTATAAGCCCTTAGAATCACCATCGCATCTAATCAGAGGTGCCAGCCACACTTAACTACTGTAGAAAATCGCATTCGTTAACGATTTTCTATTTATGACGTCTATACGACTAATACTAAAAAAAAAGCAACAATTACAAATATTGTTTCATTGTTATTTCCTAATTTGCACAATAAATTATAGTTTTTCTTGCTTTTGTTAAAACGTCCATATCAATGAACAAATTAAGTATTGTCACTAGACTAGTTGTTTTACGCACACCTTCAATGAATTATTTCCAAGAGGAATTAAAGTCATTATTCCGATATGGTAGTAGTATTTTATAGAAAAACAAGATGTTATTAATTCAGAATATGTATGGAATATGATTGGATTCCCAAAAGTTTAATTGACAACTATTGTCGATGGGGTTAATTGCATCTGGATACCCTATGGTGGGGAATGAGATTTATTTGTTTAGACCCTAGGTCTCTTTGGACCAAAGCCGCCTGGCTGGCTGGCTGGTGCGCACGATATCTCTCGGATACTCGATTTGATCTAAACTTGATATATAGTAATATTTTTGTCAAACTTAGATCGAGTTCGATCCACTTCTTCCACTTCTTCTGGTACCTCCCCCCTCCAAAATGACATTAAAAAAAAAAAAACAAAATTACTGCACAGAAAGAGAAAGAATTTTCCGATTTTACTCCAACTTTGCATATCCTAATATTTGCATCAGTGCTAGGTCAGGTACGAAAACGGACAATATCGGTGCACTCCATCAAGTGCCTCCCCCACGAACTGCTAAACTTTGGAATAATTATAACCCTTATAAAATGAGACTTAAGAGTCCGATTGCCTTCAAATTACACACATCATCCATCGATCCACTCCTTCGGGTACCTCCCCCACAAAGGGCTAAAATTTTGAATATTCATGAAGCTCATAAAACACGAAATAAATTTCAGACATCACGCATATCAATATTTTTATTAATACAAGATCTGAAAGTAGAGATCTGAAAATTCCTTCTGGTACCTCCCACACACATCATCACACGCTGCCCGAATCTTGACCCATTCCCGGCGAAGCGCTTGCTTGAGGTAATCGACACTTGGGTATTTTCCAAAATACTCCAGATATCATAGTCCAACGGATTGGTATCCTGTGATTTTGGTGGCCATTGTGCGCTGGAAATGAAGCGAGGAACCTCATTTTGCAAAAATTCTTGAGTGGCGGGTGCTGAGTCCTGTTGGAATATCCAAGGTCTGCGGCCAAAATGTTTGCGTACCCAAGGTTTTAATACACCCTCCAGTATATTTTCGCGATAATATTCGGCATTTATTCTGATGTCACGGTCAATTTATACGAGCGGAGAGCGACCATCGTCTGTTATAGCGGCCCACACCATCACCAAACCCGGCGCTTGAGTTCTGGTGGCCAACCGAAGGTTCACATTTTCAGCTGACCTCTTTGGCAAGTAAACATGTCATTTTGTTTATTTAAAACTGCTGGACAACGAATGTTCTCTCATCAGAGAAAACAAATTCGGCAGTTCACCACTTTCGCTCATAAAACACGAAATAAATTTCAGACATAGAGATCTGAAAATTCCTTCTGATACCTTCCACAATGGGTTAATATTTTGATTAGTCTCTGCAAATTACACACTTCACAATATTTTTATTAATCCAAGGTGTGGCGTGAAGATGGAATATATCGGTCCACTCCTTCAGGTACCTCCCCAACAAAGGGTCAAAATTTTGAATATTCATGAAGCTCATAAAGCACGAAATTAACATCTGATTCCATTCAGATTTGAAACTTATCAATATTTCTATCAAGACAAGATTAGTTATAAAGATGGTAGAGATCGGAGCATTCCTTCTGGTACCTCCCCTCAAAAGGTCAACATTGTGAGTATTCATGAATCTCATAAAACACGAGAATAACGTTCGATTCCATTCAGAATTGATCGATCTCAATATTTCCGGCAACACAAGATCTGTTATAAGGATGGTAGAGATCCCACCATTTCTTCTGGTACCTCCCCCACGTAGGGTTCAAGATTTTAAAAAACAAAACCCTCAAAGAAAGCGAAATAAGCATCCAAATCCATCCATCTCATCAAATATTCCACATACAAACATTTTTGCTAACACAAGATCTGCTATTTAGATGATATACATCTGCCAACCCCTTCTGGTACCTTTTTTATACCCTCCATCATTCCATGGAATGGAAATACTCATGTTAATGGTGTCCGTCTGCCTATCTGTATTTTGATTATGATTAGCGACGTTATTCACCAGAATTGCTCCAAATTTCATATTTGAAGATCTTAATGGGTACTACAACCTATGACATTACATATGCAAGTCCAGGTCATCGTATAACCCCCATATAACGGTACATACCGATATTCGATATTTTGATGATTTTAGCGACATTTTTTACCGGAGTTGTTTCAAATTTCATATTTGAAGATCTTAATGGATACTACAATGTATGACAGGCCCACGTTTTCGTATAGCCCCCAATATTCGGTATTTTTAAGTTTTTAGAGACATTATCCACTGGAATTGTTTTAGATTTTGTATTGAAGTTCGGTATCGGTACTTCAGCACAGAAAATTGTCTATGCAGACCCACGTTTTCTTACATCTTTGTAATCGGTACTTTGAAGATTTCAGCTACATTTTTTATCAGAATTGTTTCAACCGGTGACAAAAAACGCATATGGAGGTCCACGACCGTATAACGATACCTTGCTATATTTGATGTTTTTATTCACCAGAATTGTTTATTTACCGGCCTGAACTTAGCTTTACTTGTTTGCTGTTAATTTTTTAGTTTGAGTCAAAATTTCCAGTAATACAGACTTTTTGGGAAAGCGGGAGAAGAAGGAAGAAATATCTATATTAATAAAAGCTTAAAGTAATTGACTGACTGACTGACTGACTGACTTAAAGATTCATCAACGCCCAGACGAAACGGTTGAAGCTAAACTCTTGAAATTTTGGGTCAGGGTTACTCTTGGCCCAAAGGGGTCAGATAAGGCTGATTTTTTTTAGAAATTCGTACTATAACGGTGGGAAAATATTAAGCTGTCCCCTTTGTATTTGAGAAAGCAGTAGAGCTGGAACTCTTAAATTTGGAATAAGGGCCACTGATGTAGTGTATGTCAGATGTACCAAAGTTGTCTTGGAAATTCGCACTATAAGGGTACGAAAATTACTAAAATGTACTAGATTTTGTACCATTTCGTATCATGTGTACGGTTGGAGCTAAAAACTTGAAATTGGAATGAACTTGAAAATGGAAAGGAAGTACTTTTGGAAGTAAGTTCTAAAGGGTACTAAATTTAGTACAATTTGAATTTGGAGGAACGGATGTATCTGGAATCCTGAAATTTGAAAGTAATATTACTGGAGGATTGTAATAAATAGCAATCCTCTATTTGGAGGAAGTTTTCGAAATGTGTACTTATGTGCACGAAAAGTACTAAATGGTACTAAATTTGGTACAATTTAAATTTTGGGAGAACCAAAAGAGTTGGAATCCTGAAATTTGGATAAAAAAGATTGCTATTGAATTGTAGGACTGAGGTACGTAGGCAGTTTTGAAAATTTGTACCTATGTGTGCTTAATGGTACCAAATTTGGTACTATTTGAATTTTGATGAACCTGTAAAGCTAGAATCCTGAATTTTGGCCTGTATTGATGTAGGTAGTTATGCAAATTTTTACTTAATTGTACTAAATGATACAATATTTGGTACAATTTGGATTTTGGTGAATCAAAAGAGCTGGTATCCTGGAACTTGGAAATAAGATTACTATTGGAGTGTAGGATTGTGGTGGATTGGGCTATGTACTAATGAAAGGGTGGAATCCTGAAATTTGGAATTTGGAATTTGGATTACTGTGGGAGCGCACTATATTTTGTACAAATTGGATTTGAGTTGAAATTTGGAATTTGTTTTGGAAATTTGTACTACAATAGTGGAAAAGGTAATATATAGTGCAAAATAGATAGGAAAGAGTTACATTTCCGAATTTTGGTGTTGGTGTCAAAATTGGTGTGTAGTGTTGAGATATGATGTGGTTTTGGAAATTAATTTTTACTTGAAGGAATAGTACCATATTTGAAAGCTTAGTTTAAATTAAAAACAATTATTTTTAGCGATTTTCTGGCCTAGATTTATTAAAAATGTATTTTCAAGGATTCATCATCAAGAGCTGCTCAATTTTTAAAATAAAGTTTGTTTACATAATTTGAAAAAAGATTTCAATTTTTTATATATATTTTTAAACATGTTGCTGAGAAATTCCGTAGTATTCATGTGGTGTAGGGCACATAAAGTTCAAACCCAACCTGGTTTTTACTTGTTTGCTCTAATTTTGAAATTACAAACGATTTGACAAAGTTACAATGAAATTACAGTTGTAGGTAATTAACTGTTTCTAGTTAGAAAAGATAGCAAAAAAAAAAAAAAAAAAAATCCGTTCAGAGTGGACGTTATGATACCCTTCGTGTGTTTAATCATTATTTTTTTTTAATATGCGCCTACGTCTCATGTATACTCTAGACCTCTTTCTATAACTTTCAGTATATTAGTCTATATTTTACAGCTCAGATCTCTTGGGAAACGGTAGCATTTAGAAATCAAAAACAATGTTTCAATTTGCTGTGTAGGGTATGCTAGGTTCAACTCAAGCAAACTGAAACGCGTTTTAATTTATGTTTACCTTTATTTGAATTCAACACTGTTTTCAAATAACAAATAAATAAAACGACAAGAACACAACAGTCTTTCAGTTTATTTACCCGCACAGAAAGGTGTGCAGCAAAGCTCAGCTAATAACTAAGAAATAATTACATTTTTGAAAAAAAAAAAAAAAAATCAATAAAAACATGGACACCGAAATTCAGAAATTTTTTAACAATAAAACGGTATTTGTTACGGGCGGAACAGGATTTCTGGGCAAGGGTAAGTAGTAGTGTTTGCAGGAATATCGGTACATGATAAAGGATAAATAACAGCGGGCGCAGCTAAAACGGCCAAAGAATCCAGAAAAATTATTATCCTTTATTAATCAACATTATTCAATACCCATTAAAGTTGTTTTGTAAGATACTAAATTCAATTTTGGGCAGGGTTATGGAGTCTAGCTATTCCTGGACAGTACTCGAGACCGACTCCGAAACCAAAGTCTGTTGTTGTTTATGCCCATCAGTTTTTGGGCCGATGTGGCTAGGGTCAACATTCTTAAGAATAATTTAATTATTTTAATTAAAATTAATTTAAAAAAAAAAAAAACAAAAAAAAAAAAGTGAAAGCGAAGCTAAGACCAAACTTGATATATTGTAATAAGTATATCACATTGGTTTTTCATGTTCCCCCCTTTCCCGCACAAATGCTTAAAGATTTGAATAATGTTTCCACGGAATTTAGATAAAGTGCAATAATGGGATATGAAGGTTTACTCCTTCTGCAACCTCTACAATAAAAGGCTAAAATTTTCAATTCTCATGAGTTTTACGGTGGAAGGACTATTGGTGTTGATCCTAACTTTGAATATGAAGACATTTTAGTTATCTGCACACAAAAGGTGAACATTTAAAAAAAAAGTATAAACTTCGTATGGTGCGAACGAGGCTACGAATTTATTTTTTTTCAAGGACTTTCTGGCTATCAATCATGTATTTATAGCGATTTATACGATTTATATATCGTGCCGTTTAAAAAAAAATTGTTCATGAATTTAATCCGTCCAAATTTTCCTAGCCATAAATCGTGGATTTCTTTAAAGAAAGTTTCAAGGATTTGTGAGCTAATTATTCATATTTTTAAGGGAATTTTTAAGTATTTTCTGCTGGGAATTGTGGATTTTTTCAAACTTATCATGAAGAAATAGGCCCTGAGTCCTGGCCTGAGTCATTTTTAAGGATTTCCGGGTCATGATTTTTCAAGTATTTTAAAAATCAATTTTCAATGATTTCCTTTTAAAATAATTTTCAGAGGATTCCTAGCCAACAAACGTGGACGATTTTAAAAACATTTCCTCAAGTGGCTAAAGATTGTGGATTTTAAAACAGTTTTTTAAGGATATCCTGGGGAAAAATTTTGGATTTATTTCAATAATTATCAGGATTTTCTGGCAAAGAATCGAAGATTTAAATATTTTTCAAGGACCACCTGTAAAAATCGAGGATTTTTTGAAAAAAAAATTTAAAGATTTTCTTGGCTGGAATCGTGAATTTAAAAAAAAATAAAGGATTTCTGGATATTTTTAAAGTATTTTTCAAAGATTTACTGTCAAGACAGGAGCTTTTTTAAAATAATTGTCTAGGATTTTGTTGCCAAGAATGGTGATTTGTTTTAAACAGTAATTTTTTTAGGATTTTTAGCTCAGAAACGTGATTTATTAAAAACTCAGTTTTCAGGGAATTTCTATTCAGGGATTCAAATTAAAAAAATAATTTTTAGGGATTTTCTGGTTTACATTTGTTAAAAATGTATTTCTGGGATTTCAAGAAGGTATTTTCCAAGTTTCCTCCTCAAGAGTCGCCCAATTTTTAAAAAGAAAGTTTCAATCTCTCATTTTAGAAGAAGTATTTTTCATTTTTGTTATATTTCGCAGAAAGGAATGGGGAATATTTTAAAATATGACATGATAATGATTTTCTAAGCGTGGATTTTGGATTTTTTTTCTTTTTTTAAAGATTTTTTAAAGACTTGGAAATGGGGATTTGTAAAGAATGGTGATTTTTTTTACAATATTTTTCGAGGATTTCCTGGCCTAGATGTATTTTGAGGAAAATTTGCGCAGAATCTTGGATTAGGAAAAAGTATTTTTCAAGGACTTTCCTTTCGAAGAGTCGTTGATTTTCTAAAAAAAATATTCTTCAAGCATTTTCTGGCTAAGAATAGCTGTTTTTAAATATTGTTTAAGAATACTTAGTTGTTTAAATAGGATATCCTGGCCAAGAAAAAATATAAGCGGATTTAATAAAAAATATTTTTCAAAGTTTTTTCCATTAGAGTCGTGGATTTTCTGAAAAAAGTATTTTCAAGTATTTCTTGGGTGTTGATGAGTTTCAAAAATGTCGGCTGTTGTGGCGGCCCACACCATCACCATGGCCGGCGCTTGAGTTCTGGTTGCCAACCGAAGGTGCACATTTCAGCTGACCTCTTTGGCAAATAAACACGATCATTTTGTTTGTTTACAAACTGCTGGACAAGGAATGTTTTCTCATCGGAGAAAACCAAATTCGGCATTTCACCACTTTCGGCCAAGCGAAGCAACTCTTTAGCTCTTTTGAGTCTATTTTCTTTCTGTAAGTTCTTGAACTTTTTCGAATATCAGTGGATTTAACCCGAGCTCATTTTTCAATATTTGCCGAATTGAATATTGCGATATGTTCAGGTCACGACCCGTTTTTCGGCCACTGCGACGCGGGCTTCGATCAAGTCGTTTCTTTACTTTTCGAACCATTCCTGCTGATGTTGCTCTTTTCTTCCATCCACTTCCTTGACGTCGGGCTTCATTACCAGTATCTCGGTAACAAGCGATGGTATGAGAAACAAAAGATTTATTCACATTTAAATGCTGGAGTTCTCTAACGATAGCCACTTGTGGTTTTCCAGCCAAATATAAAGAAATCACACTATCACGCTTGAATTCCATCACGAATAACTTTTTTTCTGGAAAATTCTCACCAAAAAAAAAGACTTTTGTACCCTTTTATCAATATAGAACTGTGCAATGGCCAATTATATGCTTTTACATGTTGCGACAATAGGGCTTACATTATTTGCCAAATATAGAGAATATTCTAAAAATATAAAAATATTTTTGCCTGGACGTCCTTGAAATAAGTTTAAAGAAAAATCATCGGTTTAGGAAAGGAGTCCCTAAAATTGTTTTAATAAAATAAAACTTTTTTTAGGCTGAATATCAAAAAAAAAAAAAAAAAATCAAAATCTTTGTACCGAAACCCTAAAACATATCCTTAAAAATTCCATAAGTTTTGGTCAGGATGTGTATCAAAATATTATTTAAAAATCTACGACTTTTCATCAAGATATCCTTCAAATGTCCTCTTTTTGATTGATTTTCATGCAATGCTTTGAAATATTCATATTTTTCAGGAGGTCCTTCGAATTATCCTAACAAAAATCCACGGTTTTTGGTGAGGAAATTCTTCAAAAATTTGTTTCAGAAACATGTTGTAAAAATATTTGTAAAAATACACTAGTTTGTTCAGAAAGACGTTTTATGTCGATTGACATCTCAATCCACCGTTCGGAGAAAGCTATGACAAATATTTTAAAAAATCTACGATTCTTAGCCAGTAAATACTTGAAAGTGGTAAAAAACTGGATTTGTGTCAAGATTTTCTTAGAAACAAACAACATTTTTTGGTCCTTAAGCAATTATTAAAAAAAAAACAAAACTTGTCTTGACACACATATAAGGATATTCCAGAAATTAGACTAAATCACAGATCTCGTTTGAATTGTACGAGATTCAAGATTTTCAAAAATTGGCCGTTTATGGGGGAGGTAGCAGAAGTAAAGGACATAGATTTCCATACTATGTCCCGATCGAAATATTAGGATGTGAGTATGTGAAAATTACAGAATAATGTCTCCTTTTAAGATTTCACAAACATTTATATAATTTCATTTTGAAAAAGTATTTATTTGATCTGAGTGGGGACTGATTTCACATATTTTGAGTGTTGAACGGATGAATCTGGAATTTTGAAAGTTGTTGATTTTTAAAGCTTTGGTCCCTTATATCGCAAAAAAAAAAAAAAACAGTAAAGAAAGTCTTAAAGTCGGGCGGGGTCGACTTTATGATACCCTACACCAATTTGCTAATTTAGTAGAGCTCCACATAACAATTAAAAGTTTTTATGGGATAATTCAATCATACACGCTATGATTATAATTATAATTTAAAGTTCAAAGGACTAAATATGCCGAAGCATTTGTTTCTTTTAAATTCGGAATTGTATTGCCCATTTGGTGCACAATTAATTTGAAATCGGATAAAGATATATATGAGTGCTATATCCAAATCTGAACCGATATCGATAAAATTTGGCAAAGATATTTCTGAGCTGTATTTCATATATTTCCCAGAATATCGTTGTTACGGAGTGCATACTACGGTTGTGGGTAACAAATACAACAAATCGGATGAACAATATATATGGGAGCTATAGCTTTATCTGAACCGATTTCGATCAAATTTGTCATACATATTTTCAGGCCTAATTTGGGTGCATATGCTAAATTCCATACAATTCGGGCTGATATTACAGGTTTGGTGCACAATAAAAGGCAAATCGGACGAAGATATATATGGGAGCTATATCTAAATTTTGACCGATTATCTCCAATTTCAATAGGGTTCGTCCTTGGGCCAAACAATTGATCTATGCAAAATTTCATCTGGATCGGGCAATAAATGCGACCTGTACTTTGTTTACAAAAATACATGGACAGACGGACGGACGGACATGCATAAATCGACTCAGAATGTGATTCTATGCAGATCATCAAAAGGAACTATGGGTCTATCTCGTTTCCATTTGCCTGTTACAAACAAATGCACAAAGACATAATACCCTGACCACCTTGTGGTGTAGGGTATAAAAATAAATAAATAAAAGTTGTTGCAAAATGGTCAGGCTTATCCCTTTATTGTTGTTTTTATAAAAACAACGTTTGTTTATTTGTGGAGAACGATGGTTAGGTTTCGGAAAGAGCCACCAATCCTCATCAGTTCCCTTGTTTTTGTCTGGGATATTCTCCCCAGAAGTTATTTTAAAATAACTTCTATGACAAAAAACATTTTTTACCCAAGTGACGAGATCGTAAGCTCAATAGAAGAGGAACCAAAGAATTATATAAAACTAAAATTCTTTTGGAAAGTCTTCTAAATCTTACAACCGCACTTATAAACATTTTCATCTTTCTCCACTTGTTATGCTTTCGTTCAACCTGAACGAAGTAGCATAACCATGTAAGTTGGTTTTGTCTGTTACAACAAAAACCCCTTTGTCGACCGTGCCTTGTCTATAAATAGAACAGTGTGGCTTGTTTGTTCGGGATACCGTAGTATTTTGTTGTTGCAAAATGGTCAGGCTTATCCCTTTATTGTTGTTTTTATAAAAACAACGTTTGTTTATTAGTGGAGAACGATGGTAATGTTTACCAGGGAGTAAGGCAGGGAATACCTAGGTTTCGGAAAGAGCCACCAATCCTCATCAGTTCCCTTGTTTTTGTCTGGGATATTCTCCCCAGAAGTTATTTTAAAAATAACTTCTATGACAAAAAACATTTTTTACCCAAGTGAGTGGAGAAAGTGGAGAAAGATGAAAATGTTTATAAGTGCGGTTGTAAGATTTAGAAGACTTTCCAAAAGAATTTTAGTTTTATATAATTCTTTGGTTCCTCTTCTATTGAGCTTACGATCTCGTCACTTGGGTAAAAAATGTTTTTTGTCATAGAAGTTATTTTTAAAATAACTTCTGGGGAGAATATCCCAGACAAAAACAAGGGAACTGATGAGGATTGGTGGCTCTTTCCGAAATCTAGGTATTCCCTGCCTTACCCCCTGGTAAACATTACCATCGTTCTCCACTAATAAACAAACGTTGTTTTTATAAAAACAACAATAAAGGGATAAGCCTGACCATTTTGCAACAACAAAATACTACGGTATCCCGAACAAACAAGCCACACTGTTCAATAAATAAAAGTTTAAATTCAATTCTAGTGTTTTAAAATGGCTACTTACTTATTTACTTTCTATGTAAGGGGTGAGGATAGGGTTTTGTAAACTATACCTAATAATTCAATTTTTTTGTAATAAAATTGTTTGCTGGGATGTGGGAGTTGATGGATTTTTTATACCCTCAGCCATATGGCTAGAGAGGGTATATATCGTTTGTTACGACCAAAACGTACCTCATCTAAATAACGATTCTAGACCCTAGGTCTCTTTGAACCAAATCAATTTCAGAACATTTGAAATCGATCTAGCGATGTCCGCCCGTCCGTCCGCTGGATGGTGCGCACGATAACTCTCGAAGGGAGTATCCGATTTGGTCCAAATTTGGTACATCGTAATATTATTATCAAACTTAGATCGACTTCGGAGATGGGCAATATTGGTCCACAACTTCAAGAATTTACCTTATAGAACAAAATAAGATTGTCTAATTTTGAGCAAATTTTGCAAATTTTGTGCTAGGCCAGGTGCGAATATGGACAATATCGGTCTACTCCATCAAGTAACTTTCCCACAAAGGGTCAACATTTTGAAAATTATAACACTTATAAAATGTGATGTAAGGGTCCGATTGTCTTCAAATTTCACACATCCCACTATTTTAATTAAGCCAAAGTCTGATATATCGGTTCACTCCTTCTGGTACATACCCCACAAAAGGTCGAAATTTTCCAAAAATAATAATAATGATAAATAAATAAAAATAAAAAATAAGTAAATAAATATTAACTGCACAGAAAGAGAAAGGATAATCCGCTTCTGCTCAAATTTTTTAAAATTCTAATATTTGCATCAGTGCAAGGTCAGCTGAGAAAATGGAAAACATCGGTACACCCCATCAAGTACCTCCTCCAGAAAGGGTCAATATTTTGAATATTTATAACGTTTATAAAATGTGATGTAAGGGTCCGATTATCCGATTTTATAAACCCAAGATCTGGTGTTAAGATGGAATATATCGGTCCACTCCTTCTGGTACCTCCCCGACAAAAAGTCGAAATTTGGAATATTCATTAAGAACATAAAAAATGCGAAATTAACATGCGATTCCATTTAGACTTTGTACATCTGAATATTTCTATCAACACAAGATCTGTTATAAAAACGATAGAGATCGGACCATTCCTTCTGGTACCTCCACCACAAAGGGTCAAAGTTTTGAATAACCAAAGCGGCCATAAAATATGAAATAAGCATCCGGTTCTCTTCATAGTTCACACATGCCATTATTTCTACTAACACAAGATCTGATGTGAAGCTGGGGTGTATCGATCCACTTCTCCTGGTACCTTCCCCTTAATGGGTCAACCTTTTAAATATCCATGGAGCTAATAATACACAAAAATAACATCCGATTCCATTCAGACTGGGCAAATCTCAATATTTGCATCAAAACATGATTGATATAAAGATGGAAGAGTTTGGACTATTTCTTCCGAAAAAACCCCCACATAAGGATCAACCCTTTGAAAGACAAAACACTCAAAGAAAGCAAAATAAGCGTCCAACTCTCTTCAAATTTCAAACAACAAACATTTTTGCTAATACAAGATTTGTTGTGAAGATGCTATACATCTTCGAACCCCTTCTGATACCTCACCCGCAATGGAACACAAATTTCAATACTTTTATCTGTCATAACTTGCGAAACACATCAGCAATTTTTATCATATTTATTTAGGTCCGATACGAAATGTACAATACTGGCCCATTTCATCGGAACCCATTCCATAGAGGGTCAATAATTTGAATAATCATAACAGAAATCAAAATATATTTTTAAATAACCGAACATTGGCTGAGGTTAGGCATATATGGGCCATGGTACAATGAAGAGAAGGTAGGTCAACTTTGAAAAAATTGCAAGTATAGAGGTCTACCTGTTTGGCTTGTAATGTCAGAATTACTATCAAAACAATAATAAAGCAAACAACTTGTTGCATTGATTTTGAATAAATAATTTAAAACCACGAAAACTGAATGAATGGTCAAATTTTCTTTTCAATATCATGTTCTATATATCTTTTATGGTTTATTTCGCGACAAAGACTGTAGATTTTGTCGATGCATTCGTTGCAATAAGCATTTTGAAAACACCCGAATTTGAATATTTTCTGAACAACTTTTTATTATTGAAAAGAAAACACACACATAAGCAAATGAAGTTGACATATTAAGCCAGAAAAATAAAAAAAAAAATAAAATCATATGGTAGTTCTGCCCTACCTTGAATTCATTGTACCATGATATGGGCAAAGCCGATTGACACTTTAAGTTCTTTTTGGGCCATATTAAGGGGTTCCATATAATCCCCTTTAATGAAAAATCTTTTAGAATAAGATCAATGAACCAGTAATGAAGTCACCGTGTCATGTACCACGTGACTAATGGTAGGCTTAGACGACAATTAACACCCGTCATAGAAGACAATAATCGATCTGAAAAATTACAGTAATTACTACATAGTAAACAATGTAGTTAAACATTTATAAATTCATCCCCTTAAATTGCTATAATTTACCTTTACCTTTCATTTTCTTTGTTGCAGTTCTAATTGAAAAAATTTTACGCTGTACGAACATAAAACGTATCTATGTACTGGCCCGATCCCGAGCCGGACAAGATGTTAAAGAACGATTTAATGAAATTATCAAAACACCTGTAAGTAATTGAGATAATTGAAAAATGTTGGCCTGCGACAAGTGTTGACTTGATTAATTTTCTGTTTTTCAAGTTGTTCGACAAACTCCATGCCACGCGACCTAAATTTATGGATTGTGTCCAACTAATGGAGGGTGATTGTGCTCAGGATAAATTGGGTCTATCGAATGATGATTATCTAACGCTAGTCGAAAATGTCGAAGTGATACTGCACTGTGCGGCCACGGTGCGTTTCAATGAAAAGCTAAGTGTTGCCACAGCAATCAATGTCCAGGGCACCGTGGACATTGTCGCCATGGCAAAGGAAATGCAACATTTGGTGGTGAGTTGATGCTGCAATTTTCTCGATTTTTTTTAAGTTTATATTAAACTGTATCTCCCTTGCAGTCCTTTGTCCATGTCTCTACGGCCTTCGTCACTTCCACGACCCACACCGAAGAGAGAATTTGCTCTGAAAATCTAAGCGTAACCTGCCAACAACTTTTAAGTGTTAAAGAGGCCTTGGGCGATGAAAAATTTGATTCTTTATCATCGAAATTCGTCGGAAAATTTCCCAACACCTACACCTTTACTAAAGCTATAACAGAAAATTTTATACGGTCTGAAGCTAGCTCATTGCCGATTTGTATTTTTAGACCAGGAATAAGTAAGTGATTGTATTATATTCCCTTAAAACTCTTTGATTTTACAATTCAGAAAATTCGGCATAATGTATACAATCTTTATTTGAATTGGCACCAAATGTAGTAAATTTTACTACTTTTTTTGTTCGAATTTCGAAAAAACTACAAATGTCAGATTTCCAGCTCTATTCCTTCCCTAAAATATCAAAATTGTTATTATTTAGTAATTTTCGTACTTTTTAGTACCTATATTCAAATCCCTCGCCATGTGTCAACCAAACCACACAAAAGTTGTCCCTAATTCCAAATTTTAGACTTCCAGCTCAATCCATTATCAGAATACCAAATTTAATACTTTTTAGTACATATTTCTACAACCACTTCCAAATTCAAATTTCTGATATCAAGCAATATCAGTACCATTTAGTACCGTTCGTACGCCTGCCGAACGCATTTCTTAACATAACTCTTACTTACTCTCTTACTCTTAACCCTACCTACCAACAGAGACCACAATACCAACATTTTAAATTTCCTAATCAATCGGTTCAACAAAAACCAATTTGTATCGAATTTAATAGAATATAGTTAATATACGTGCAAATTTCCCTAACTACCTACATCAAACAATCCAATAGAAATCTTCAACTCTTCCTGTTTTTTCAAATGTTAAATTGAACGAATTTATGTACCACGTACGAATTTCCAAAACTTCCTTCGTACCAAATCTCACAATGAAATATTAACCTTTTTTTCACATGTCAGCATTCCAGTTCTATCGGCTCCTCCAAATTCAAATTGTACCAAATTTTGTACCATATAGTACACATAAGTACGAATTTCCAAAACTTTCAACATATCCCAATCCTAAATTCAAATACAGCAATCCCAATTGAAATTTTCAGAATTCCACACTTATTGGTTCACCCAAATACAAATTGTACTAAATTTTCTACCATTTAGTACGTTTTTCCAAACCTACCTACATACCTCAGTCCTACAATGCAATGGTTCACCCAAATCGATATTGTACCATATTGAGTAACATTTAGCTCTTTTCATGCAGATAAGTACAATTTTGGAAACTATCTCCATATCCCAATCCTACACTCCCCAAAATTAAAATTTGAGGATTCCAGTACCATCCGCTCCTCCTCATTCAATTGTACCAAATTTAGTACCATTTAGTACTTTTCGTATACATGAGTACCCACTTCCAGAAGTACCTCCTTATATCTACCCTACTCCATAAAATTGATTTCCATTCCAAATTTCATGTTTTTAGCTCTAAACGTTCACATGATACAAAATGGTACCAAATATAGTATACTTTAATACGTTTCGTACTCTTATAGCGAGAATTTCTAAAAACCTTTTGGAACATCAATCTTAAACTCCATCAGTTACCCTCATTCCATATTTAAGAGTTCTAAATCTAATGGTTCGTAAAATATAACAGGTACCATATTTAGTACCTTTTAGTACTTTTCGCACCGTTCTAGTACACATTTCCAAAAACCAAGACTTATTTTAGACATTCGGAACAAGTGTGGCCCTCATCCAAAATTCCAAGATTTTAGTTTCAACCTTTTGATGTGAAGATAAACAAGTAAAAAAGCTGTAAGTTCGGCCGGGCCGAACTTTGAATACCCTCCACCATTTGGTACAAATTCAAAAATTTTCAAAAAAACAAAAATAAATTCAAAAATTTAAAAAAAAAAAACAAAAATAAATAAATAAAATCCGTTAAGAATTCTGTTAAAATCTTAAAAATACCGAATGTAGCAGTATATTAGGGCCTATACAACGACTTGGACCTGCATAGGTAACTTTTGTCACAAGCGATTACAATATTCAAATGCGAAACTAGAAAAAAATCTGTAGCTAAAATTATCAAAATTCCGAATATAGGGAGGTACCATGGGGGTTATAAATGGACCTGTCCAGATAATTTTCTGTCATAGGGTGTAGTATCCATTACTAACTTGAAATACAAAATATGAAATAATTCCGGGAAATAATGTCGCTAAAATCATCAAAATACCGAATATTGGAGGTTCGGTTATATGAGGGCTATAGACGTGGACCTGAAAAGACAATTTTCTGTCATAGGCTGTAGTATTCATTATGAAATTCAAATACCAAATTTGAAATAGTTCCGGTAAATAACATCGCTAAAATCATCAAAATACCGAATATTGGAGGTTCGGTTATATGAGGGCTATACGAAGACGTGGACCTGAAGAGACAATTTTCTGTCATAGGCTGTAGTATTCATTATGAAATTCAAATACCAAATTTGAAATAGTTCCGGTAAATAACATCGCTAAAATCATAAAAATGCCGAATATCGAGAGGTACCGTTATATGGGGGCTATACGAAGATGTGGACCTACATGACTCATTTTCTGCCTTAGGATGTATCAACTACGAACTTCAAATACCAAAATTTAAACAATTCCGGTAAATAATGTCGTTAAAATCATCAAAATACCGAATAACGGGAGGTACTGTAATATGGGGGATATACGAAGACGTGGACCTACATGGCCCATTTTCTGTTTTATGCTGTAGTATCCATTACGAACTTCAAATACTAAATTTGAAATAATTCTGGTAAATAATGTTGCTAAAATCATCAAAATACCGAATATCGGGAGGTACTGTTATATGGGGGCTATACGAAGATGTGGACCTGAAGAGACAATTTTCTGTCATAGGCTGTAGTATTCATTATGAAATTCAAATACGAATTTCATAATGTCGCTAACATAATGTCGCTAAAATCATCAAAATACCGAATATCGGGAGGTACCGTTATATGGGGGATATACGAAGACGTGGACCTACATGGTCCATTTTCTGTTTTATGCTGTAGTATCCATTACGAACTTCAAATACTAAATTTGAAATAATTCTGGTAAATAATGTCGCTAAAATCATCAAAATACCGAATATCGGGAGGTACCGTTATATGGGGGCTATACGAAGACGTGGACCTACATATGGCCCATATTCCATACCAAAATTCCTGCAGACATAATACACATTTGAGTAAAATTTTATAAACCTACTATATTTCGTTCGGAAGCTAGAGTGATTTCCACAGACGGCCAGACGGACAGACGGACGGACATTGATAAATCGACATAGAATTTTATGCTGATCAAGAGTATATATACTTTGTGGGGTCTAAAATGTATATTTCGATGTGTTACAAACGGAATGACAAACTTAATATACCCTCCATACTATGGTGGAGGGTATAAAAAAAAGCAGACAAGGGCCTACCGGGAGAATAGGTTTCACTGAAATAACGGGGACCAAACACATTGGGACATTTGGAGTCGATCTAAGGGTGTCCGTCCGTCTGTCCATCATTCTGTCTGGTGCGCTCTATAACTCTCGAAGGGGTATCCGATTTGGTCCAAACTTTATGCATCCTAATATTATTATTACAATTAAATCGATCTTCCATTTTCATTTTCTTCCATTTCTTCTGATACCTCCCCCACAGAAAATCGAATTTTTCAAAAAATGTTTTTCTGCACAGAAAGGGAAAGGATAATCTGATTTTGTTACAACTTTGCAAGTCCTAATATTTGCATCAATGCTAGGTCAGGTGCCAAAATGGGCAATATCTGTCCACTACATCAAGTCCTCCCACCCACAAAGGGTCAAAAATTTGGAAAATTCATACTAAAATATTTTTTTAACACAAGATCCGGGATGGGATATATTTGTCCACTTCTGCTGGTACCTCCCCCATAAAGGGGTCAACATTTTGTATAGCCATGAAACTAACAAAACGCTAAATGAGCAGCCGATTACTTTCAAACTCCACATATCCTAATGCTTCTATCAATTCAAGATCTGTTGTTAAAATGGAATATAGCGGACGACTCTTTGTTGTACCCCCCCCCCCCTCCACAAAGGGTCAAAATTTGATATAGCTATATATCTTAAAAAAATGTTAGACAAGCATACGACTCTTTTCCAATTTGACATATCCTAATATCTTTTTTATTTAGATCTGGTGTGAAAATAATAGAAAAAACCAGTAAAGAAAGTCTTAAACTCGGGCGGGGCCGACTTTATGATACCCTACACCGAATAAAGATATACATATCCAAATCTGAACCGATCTCGATAAAATTTGGCAAAGATATTTCTGAGCTGTATTTGATAAATTTCCCTGAATATCGTTGTTACGGGGTTGTGGATAACAAATATAACAAATCGGATGAATAATATATATGGAAGCTATAGCTATATCTGAACCGATCTTCACCAAATTTGACATACTAGCTTCTAGACTCAATTCGGTCGTAAGTGCCAAATTCCATCCCATTTGGACACATATTAGACGTTTAGTGCACAAAAAAAGGTAAATCGGACGAAGTTATATATGGGAGCTATATCCAAATCTGAACCGATCTCGATAAAATTTAGCAAATGTATTTCTGAGCTGTATTTGATATATTTCCCCAAATATTGTTGTTGCAGAGTGCATATTACGGCGGCGGTGGACAAAAATAACAAATCGGATGAACAATATATATGGGAGCTATAGCTATATCTGAACCGATTTCGATCAGATTTGGCATACTTATTTTCAGGCCTAATTTGGGTGTATATGCAAAATTCCATACAATTCGGGCTGATATTACACGTTTGGTGCACTATAAAAAGCAAATCGGATGAAGATATATATGGGAGCTATATCTAAATTTTGACCGATTATCTCCAATTTCAATAGGGTTCGTCCTTGGGCCAAACAAAAGATCTTTGCAAAATTTCATTTGGATCCGGCAATAAATGCGATCTGTACTTTGTTTACAAAAATACATGGACAGACGGACGGACGGACGGACGGACGGACAGACGGACGGACGGACATGCATAAATCGGCTCAGAATGTGATTCTATGCAGATCATCAAAAGGAACTATGGGTCTATCTCGTTTCCTTCTGCCTGTTACAAACAAATGCACAAAGACATAATACCCTGACCACCTTGTGGTGTAGGGTATAAATAGATATCGTGATGGTTTCTCTCACATTACAATACCTTCGTAAATTTTGTCGTAATCGGCTCATATTTAGATGCATATAATGCATCACATATAAGTTGCGATTTTACTTATTTTTTGCAGTTCTTTCGACCTACCAAGAACCGTTTGGCGGTTGGATAGACAATATCCAGGGAGCGGTTGGGGTAACATTTGGTGTCTTAATGGGAGTCTTGCGAGTCGTAAACATTGCCTATCCAAGGCACGCTCCAATAGTCCCGGTCGATTACTGTGCCAACATGATATTGGCTGCGGCATGGTCCAATGCGTCCTCTTCAAATAAATGCAGGTAATTCCAGAATTATCACATCATCTCATACCCATCACAATTAACCTTACGATATTTTGCAGTTCCACCAAAGAAATCCCCATTTACAATTTAATACCCGATGAACCAAATTTCCTGACATGGGGCCAATATATAGATACTTTAGTAAACTACAACAACGATATGCCCTATTCGAAAATGTTATGGTATCCAACGATCCGACTGATAGGAAGTCCACGTTTATATGGTCTGGCTACGATTATGTACCAAACAGTACCGGCCTATGTCATGCAGTTGTTTTTCAAAATCAGTGGCTCCAAGATAAGGTAAATGAATACTACGGGATGGAAATTAACATGATTGAATTTTCCTGAACTTGTTTCTTGTTTTCAGCATGCTTAAAGTGAATGAAAAGATCGCTCGTTTGACCGATGCGGCGGCCCATTTTATTACCCACGATTTTACATTTGCCACCACCAATACCAGACACCTGTGGCAGTCCATGTCGCCTGAGGATCGCAAATTGTTCGATTTTGATATGACATCAGTGGATTGGAATGAGTATTTACTGCGCTTCGCCAAGGGTTTGAGAGAGTTCATTGGCAAAGAAGAGCCCGAGACTATACCCGCAGCGAAGAGTAAACTTAAGAGGTAAGCTAACGAGCTGACTAGCCCAAACTGACTCATGACTAAATCGGTTGTTCTAAAAATTCATATGATAGTAGATGACCTCTGGGTCCATCTACTCACCAGTAGATGGTCTCATCTGTAACTTCTGATGCCCATCTACTCTACATTAGATGTCCTCTGGATCCATCTACGCTACAGTATATGGCCTCTGGACCCATCTACGCCCCAGTAGATGGCCTCTGGGCACATCTACGCTACGGTAGATGGCCTCTGGGCTCATCTAGCCAACAGTAGATTGCCACAGAGCCTACCTACTGTACAGTAGATGTCCTCTGAGCCGATCTACTCCACAGTAGATGACCACTGCCACATCTACAGGGCTCATCTACTCTACAGTTGATGGCCTCTGGGTACATCTACTCTACAGTAGATAGCCCCTGGGCCCATTTACACGACATTATATGGTCAAGAAGACCATCGACTCTACAGTAGATGGCCTCTTGGCCCATCTATGCCATAGTATATGGCCTCTGGACCCATCTACGCCACAGTAGATGGCCTCTGGGCACATCTACCCAACAATAGATGGCCTCTGGACCCATCTAATCAACAGTAGATGGCCTCTGGGCCCATCTACTCTACATTAGATGGCTTCTGGGTACATCTACGCTACAGTAGTTGGCCTCTGGGCCCATCTACCCAACAGTAGATGGCCTCTGGGCCCATCTACCCAAAAGTAGATGGCCTCTGGGCCCATCTACCCAAAAATAGATGGCCTCTGGGCCCATCTTCTCACCAGTAGATGGCCTCTGGGCCCATCTTCTCAACAGCAGATGGTCTCTGGGTCCATCTTCTCTACAGTAGATGGCCTCTGGGCCCATCTTCTCAACAGTTTTTTTTTTTTTTGATGTTCTTTATTGAAGTGTATAATAATATAATTTACAATTCTCATTTCCCGCGAAGCTTTAAGCTTGTATGCAGGATAATTTTAATAGTAATCTTAATATTAATACATATACATTTTATATCTTTAATTTTCACAGTTCAGCTGTTATGTATAGCACATTTCAATAAAATACTTTTATTATTCTATTTTTATTTTTTCAATTGAGCATTATAAGCTTATTAGATGTTTTTTTAATACTTTTTTCCTTTTTATTTTATTTCTAATATTAAATATTTCTAGGGGTAGTTCATTTCGGGCACTTGGCAGGCTAACGGCGAGAGCTCTTCTACCGTATTCGTTTTTGAAGCTAGGTATCTTGTATCTTCCTTCTGCTTGTCTTCTAGTGTTTAGATTATGGTCGATGGGTTGCAACAGCGAACTATCTTCTGAGAATTCGTTTAAAATTACAGATTTGTAGAGATTTTTAACGTTGAGCACATGTAACTTTTTATGTATACATTGCCGTGCGGTAGTGCGTTGAGTATGATCGTTTGTTATGGAGCTAGTAAGGTGTTGGCATATATTAGATTTATCAAAACTTTTCTGAAGTATTTTTAAAATACTGTTTTGTGCTGTTTGTAATATTGAAATATTCGCCGAATTTCCCCAAGAAGTTATTCCATGCCTCAGGTACGATTCAGCTAATGAAAAATATGCTTGTCGGATGACGTGGTATGGAGCACAATTGCTTAGATGGTAAATGGCATATGATGATTTTCTAAGTTTTTTTCTGACGTTGTCAATGTGTGACTTCCATTTAAAGTGAGTGTCCAAAATTACGCCCAGATATTTATATGTGTCAACTACTTCTATCTTCGTTGAGCAAGTATCATCATATTGATCGTTGATTGTATCATTTTTATGAATACATTCATAGTTGTGAAATATTATTGAAATATCAGTTCCAGGTGTGTTTTTTGTTCGTAAGTGCATCAGCTTGGTCTTGCTAGCATTAATTACCAATCCATTATCATGGCACCATCTAGTTAATTTATTCATCTCCGATTGCATCTTTCGCTCTGCTGATCTTATGGATGTATCTGATACTAATATGGCTGTATCATCTGCATACGAAAAGGCGATGCTATCGTTTAGTGTTTTAACCATGTCATTGGTGTATAAAATGAAGAGAATGGGCCCGAGTTTGGATCCCTGTGGGACTCCGTACTTTGAGCCATATTTTGCACTTGTTGTGTTATCTATTTTTACTTTAAACGTGCGATATTTCATGTAGTCTTCAAACCATTTTAGACAGTGTCCTCTTATTCCGTTTTTTTCTAGTATGCTCAATAGTTTATGATGTGATAGAGTGTCAAATGCCTTGCTGAAGTCAATGAACATTGCTAGACAGTGCCTGTTTTCAGCTAAATTTTTGTTGATTTCATTGGAAAAGTGACCTAGGAGTTTATTGATGCTTTTTCCTTTCTGAAATCCGTACTGACATGAGCTAATGATTTTATATTTTGTTAAAAAGCTATTCAGTCTTCTTGTGACAATTTCTTCTAATATCTTTTCAACAATTGGGAGTATTGATATTGGCCTATAATTTTCGTATGAGGATTTAAGGCCGCTCTTGTAAATTGGTCTTATTATGGACATTTTCAGAATATCGGGAACAGTTGATTCTAAGAAACTTCTATTAATCAAAGCTGTTAACACTGGCGCCATTATATCAAAATTATTTTTGAGATCAATCGGTCTTAAAATGATGGAGTCTGGGCCCATCTACTCACCAGTAGATGACCTCTGGGTCCACCTACTCACTCATGGCCCTTGTGTCCAACATTTTTTAATCATCAATTTAAAAATTATCATTCATAAGAACATTTTCATAACAATTCTGTAAAAATATTTTTCCTTTTAGATTTTACATGTGTCACGTGGCACTAAATTCCGTCGTTTGTGTCGGCCTGCTATGGACCACGCAATATATATTCTTTTAAAAATATATGGCTATAAAGGAAATATTTCGAAGCTGCCGTTGGAAGGCTGGATGATTTATGTCATGAATTCTTATTCTATTTTTACGGATGTGTTAACTCTATAACATTTTATTGTACGATTTAATTTTATCAACTCACAAATAAAGGTTTCTTTGATATTTTGGAGTCAATAAAATAAAAACAATTTCTAGATAAATTAATCTTTCATTTAGTAGTTAAACATAAATTAAGTATTTTCTGTTAATTTTTGTTTTAGAATAATAACCACAAATTAAAATCATTTTCGATTCGAAAATTAAAAAAAGTTTTCGAGAGACTCCAATCGCCGTGAACTGTTTTTCGCCGAGACACGCCATTTGATTAGGTTGCTTTTAACGCTGCTTAAAGGTGGTATTACCAAAATATGGTGCATACGTCAAGGCGTTTAGTTTTCTCCCATTCTATCAATGTTTTATCTTAAAATATATATATGAAGATAGAGAGCTGTTATTGTTGTTTTCTTTTGTTATGCTAATTCAATACTTTGCACCTATTCAGTTAATAAATGAGAAATACTAGATTTTAAAATAATTATACAATATCGTTAATTCATTTGAGAATTCATAATAAATTAACAACAAAATGTAAAAAACCGAAATTAGTGTTGAACTTTATTTCATTAGAAAAATATTATATTACAAAAAAAAAAATGAAATCAATGTAATTTAAAATCCATTATAAATTGATTTTCTCCCGTATTCACAAAAAATAAAATCTAAAAAAAAAAATAGAATAAAAACATCTCGTGATGAATTCTTTACTCAACATCTAATATTGTAATTCAAAATGTCCATATTAATCATTTTTTTGCAATAAAAATTTCATATAATAATTGTTTTGTTGTCAACAATTAAAATTTAATTTACATTTTGTATCAATTGCAAGGGAATAGAGATCAGCAGATTTATTAAGCAATTCTAGGCAAAGAGAAATGTAATTGTCTTGAACAACTTAATAAAAAATAAATACCATGCATAATTTATCTAGATGGTAGCCTTACCAGCTATACTTTTTTTAAAGATCGATTATTTTTTTTAATAATAAAGCTAATATAGAATTAAGTTCCATATTCTTTTTATGGCCCCGAAGTCCAAAATGTGCCCTCTCGCAATAATGGCTAAGAACCTTGTTCTTTTCAAATGTTATTCATTTTCGGATATTTGGAGTCCATTTAGACTTATTTGTCTGTATGTTTGGCTGGTTCAGCCGATTTGATCCAAATTTGACACATCGTAATATTTTTGGGAAATTTAGATCGTGTTCGAACATTGGCCATATCGTTATTCCATTATAGTATAAAAATTTTTTTTTGATTAAAGTTGGGGTTATAAATCTTCGATGGTTTTCAACTATTAGCCATTTTTGTTCCGAGATTTAATTTTTATTTTTGTAAAAATAAATAACATTTTCCATTTCTTATTATTTTATACCCTCTATATGGCTAGAGAGGGTATATATTATTTGTGCCCAGTCGAAAAACGATTTTAGACCCTAGGTCTCTTTGAACCAAATCCGTTTCAGAACATTTTGAGTCGATCTAGCTATGTCCGTCCGTCCGTCTGCCTGTCTGGCTGGTGCGCAAGAAGGGAGTATTCGATTTAGTCCAAACTTGATACAACTTAATATTTTTGTCAAACTTAGATCGTGTTCGGAGGTGGACAATATAGGTGCACACCTTCTGGTACCTCCCCCAAAAAATGTCGAAATTTTCAAAAATAGAAATGATATTCCGATTTTGCTCCAAAGTTGCAAATCCTAATATTTGCCTCAGTTCTTGGTCAGGTGAAAAAATGAATAATATGGGTCCACTCCATCAAGTGCTTCCCCCACAAAGGGTCAACATTTTGAATAATTATAACTCTTATAAAATGGGATGTATCGGATTCTTACATCCCATTTTATATGTCTTAAAATGTAATGCTTCCCATTTTTTATGAACTCAAGATCTGGTGCTAAGATGGAATATATTGGTCCACTCCTTCTGGTACCATTAAGCTAGTAAAACGCGAAATTAACATCCGATTTCATTTAGACTTGGCACATCTGAATATTTCCATTAAAACAGAATCTGTTGTAAAAACGGTAGAGATCGGACCATTTAGGAAACTTCTGGCACCTCCTCTACAATGGGTCAAATTTATGTTTCACACATCTCATTATTTCTACCAACTCAAGATATGCTGTAAAGATGGGATATTTCGGTCCAACCTTTTTGGTACCTCTCCCACAGATGCTCAAAATTTGAATATCCATGAAGATGATCATAAAACGAAAAATTGACATTTGTTTCTATTCAGACTTGGCACATCTGAATATTTTTACCAATACAAGATCTGTTATAGAGATGTTAAAGATCGGACCATTTCTTCTGGTACCTCCTCCACATAGGGTGAAAAATAAAATACTCAAAGAATGCGAAATAAGCTGAGTTCCATATTCTTTTTTGTACCCCCCAGAGGACGTGCAACGGCAAAAATGTGCCTCATCGCAAAAACGACCCACATCCTTGTTCGTTTTAAAAGTTATCCATCTTAGGACATTTGGATTCGATTTAGCCTTATCGGCCTGTATGTCCAGCAGATGAACAGGACATCTTTTGAGGTTATTTCGGTATTTCATGTTGTTAGTCTTTGATAAAATTTTAAATGCTTAAAATCGTCTTTTTTATCAAATTTCTTGGTTTACATTACTGCCCATTTGCATCGTCTTCGATCTTGTAATAATTCAATTGATTTGCGAAAGGTTTATTTATAACTTGTGTGAAATTCAAATTGTTTATTTTTGTCTTACGAAGTACTCAACATTTATGGTAATCAACAATAAATTGCCTAAACGTGCATCGGGGCAATCGTATGAAGGTCAGGTTTTAAACTTACATTTTATAACGAAAAGATGATCAGAACAATTTTTTTTGCCAAAACATTTATTTATACCATTAAAGACGAACAGTGAATTCATACGGATGGCTGAAAGTCAACTTAGTACCTGGAGAATTTTGATAAAAAATATTTAAATTGAATTAATAAAAATATTAAGTTAAACAAGTAAAAAAGTAGCTAAGATCGGCCATGTCGAACTTTTTATAACCTTCACCATTTGGAAGTAACTTGAAAGAAATTTAAATTTAGGAACAATATTTAAAAAAAAAATCCATCCAAAATACCACTCAAAATTAAACCGTTATATGGGGCCTATAAGAGGACGAGGTATTGTCATAGGCTGTAGTACCGATTCCGAACTTTAAATACAAAATTTGAAACAATTCCGGTGAATAATGTCGCAAACATCATCAAAACACCAAAAAAAGGGAGGTACCGTTATATGTGGGCTATACAAAGACATGGGCCGGCATAGACAATTTTCCATCATAGGTTTGAGTGCTATACTAAAACGTGGACCTATTTAGAAAATTCTCTTTCAGGGGGTAAAGTACTTGCAAAGAACTCCTTGTGTAGAAGTTCAGATAATTCCATTGAAAATGTTGCTAAAATCATCAAAGTACCGAATATGGGCGTACCGTTCTATGGGTGCCTTACGATATCGGAATATCAAGAATATTTTTTAGTTTGTTTGGATAAAAGTATTTCGATAATTTACAAACGAAATGACGAACTTATTATTAATTTTTTTTTTAATTTTTTTTCGGTTGTAAAGATTCATCAGAAGGATTTTTTAAACAATTTTTCGAACGGAGATTTTAAAGAAACGTATATTTTTTTACCCTCCATTTTGAAAAGGAGGGTATTAACGTTTGTGACATCCCTAAATATTCGTCGTAGACCTCATATATATTCATGATAAGCATAAAATTCTCATCCGATTTAACGATGTTTGTCTGCCTGTCTGTCTGTTGAAGTCCCGATACAGGCCACATTATTTGACGTAGAGCTTCAAAATTTGGCAGAACAATTTGTATTGTGTCTATGACGACAAATGAGATACGTCGGTCCATGTTTTGGTATAGCTTCCCAATATTCGATATTTTGATGATTTTTGTTAAAAATTTTCACAGATTAGCCTACAAATTGGTATTTGTAGTTCGTAATGGGTTCTAGCTCCGGTGGCGAAACGCAGTATGTATAGTTCTACTTACCTTCCGAAAATCGATATTTTAAAAATTGTTGCCACATTTTTTCACGTATTTGTTTAAAAATTAGTATTTGTAGGTCATAATGGGTTCTAGCTACTGTGGTGAAACATTGTATGTGTAGATCCACGTTTATGTGTAGTTCCGATATAACGGTACCTCCCGATATTCGGTATTTTGATGATTTTGCCACATTTTCCACGGATTTGTCTAAAAATTGGTATTTGTAGTTCATAATGGGTTCTAGTTCCGGTGGCGGAACATTTTTCTCATCATTCCCATAGTGCACATATAACGGAACCCTCCGATATTCGTTATTTTGGATAGAATCTGGTATTTAAGAAGATTTGGTTGATGACAATCCTTGAAGTATAAAAATGCCTATAAAGGTTGCCGTTTTTGTATGGCCCCCATACAATGACGGCCTTACCTACTTTATGGTTTTTTTTTTTTAAAAAGTATAACAGCATTACCCGAACGGTTTTACTGGTATTTGTAGTTTAAAGTGGAACACGTTTGAATTCAGATAATTTTATATAAAATTTTTTTCTTTATCCAAAAGTTCTGCCCGGACGAACTTAGTGTTTTTTCTTGTTTAAAATATTTAAGGGCCTCCTGGTGTTTTTTTCAATCGTAGGTTTTTTAAAAAATCTTAAGAGTCCTTTGTAGGATTTTTTTTTAAGTTTTTCTTAACCTTGGATTTTTTTAAATATTTTTCCGGACAATTTTCTCAAAGATTCTCTGGCTAAAAATATTGGATTTTTTGAAAATAATTTTTCAAACGTAGGTTTAGTAAATTTTTTTAGGATAATCAATTCTTAAATATAATAAACTGTTGGCCATTGACAATTGATTGATATTTCAACATTCTAAAGAAACATCAATGAGGTTAATATCCTGTCTTTTGGCCTCCTCTTCAATATTGCAAAGAGCGTGTGTTATAACTTACGTAAATTGAATTAATTTTAAATTTTTCTTGTTTCGTAACGTGCAACATACATTTATGGTAGAATTTTAAGGCCAACAATAAATTGTCAATTTGGAGGCGGTCATATGAAGT